ATATATATATATACAATACGAAAAGCCAGTAAAAAAATTTCTATAAAGTTTTCTAATTAGGAAAGATATCGATAAAACAAAGTAAGAGAAATATAAAACTTTTTAGTTCATATTTCAAGAAAATAGATGCTACATTTCTAGATTGCGTGCGAAATAAATGTGTTGTCGCATCAGTAAATACATATAGTAGAACATCAGAAATTATTTACCAATTTAATATTACATGTACTGTAATGTGGATGATAGTCTTCTGTAAATAATAAACAGAGAAATCATTTTTTGCGCTACTTTTGGAATGTGCAATATGTTAATTGAGGTTTCAGTTGTGATAGCAAAAAAATAATTAAGAACTGCCGAAATCAAATATGAGCGTACGGGGGCGTATGAGTAAAATAAATATAAGCAACATTTATAATTTCACTCTCAATAATTTGCATGGTCACGTATAAGCTTTTGTGGTATCAAAAAAGAAGGTTACAATTCTAAAAATTAACATGCAATATTTATGTGCAGAATTGGCATGTGCAACAAATAAGCCAAGTGTTTAATAGTAGTAGCATCAAACATATTACATATTTGGAAAGTAGAAAGTAATAGAATTGTCTGTTAATAAATGTTAATAATGAGATAGAACATCGTCATAAATATCAAACTTATTAAAATTCATGCGATTGCCATAAGGTGATTATCCTATTTCAAATTAAGCTCCGAGTCAAAACATTTGCAATGCCTATATTGCCTTAATCAGAAGAATAATCTTAGAACTCACTTGAAATATTCCTGTTTTTTGACTTGTTCTTTTTGGAAGTATCTTTTGCTTGACGATTTTCCTTATTGTCGATATTATCGGTTTGACTCTCATAGTGATCCTGATGCCATTCGTTTGGATTGGTCTGACCATTCTGATGAGCGTTCGAAGAACTAGTCCGATGTTCGCTTTCGTCGTTGTTCGTCATATCGGATGAAACGGTACATGTGAGGCATATAGCAGGATGCAAAGGCGATCCTGTACGAGGAAGAGTAGAGCTCACACGATAGAGATGTCTCTGGCCCGGTCTCATGGATGGAATACCGATGAAATATCTGATGAAAAAAAGTGCAAGTTTTGTTTTTATATTAAATCGCATTAATCTCTTTTCTTTAATAATGCACAAAAATAATAAATTAGCTAGTGGATTATTACACTAAAAAAAAGTCCTAAATCCCCCCAAAATTTTTTTTATTAAAAACATTATTTATTTAAATTCTTGCAAAGGGAACTTAATTATTTCAATCAAACAGCAAATATATTTGAATTAGTAAGATATAAAATAAAATATGCTTTTATTTGCAAATAAAAAAAATCAGTTTTTTTATTTTATTATACTAAATTACTCCCTTTAAAATAAATTTTGTCACGAAAACAAAGCTTCCTTTATGAGGAAGCAAAAAAAAATTGTTTTTATCTTTATTATACTGAATTACTTTCTTTAAAACATTTTTTAATTTTTGGCTGCTTGTTTCAAAAACACAGGTTTTCTTTATTTTAATAAATAATTTTTTATCTTCAAATTAATATTTTTTTATGTAACAATTTTAAATAATGTATTTTAAAAATTATGATTTTTATTATATGCAAGTAATAATTTATTTAGTATAACAAAACATTTTTGAAAACAAAGTATATATATTTATTTAAGTAAGAAAAATTAAATCAACAAAAATGTATTTATTTGATTTAAAAAAATTTTATTTTTTGTGTACGAAACAGCATAAAAAGTAAAAATACTTACAGTAAATTAAGTAAAAGAAAGAAAATATAATCAAGATTTGATATAAACATTTCATAAAAGTATCAAAGCGATATAAAGTATGCTCTTTAAGAAAAATTTTTTAAAAAAACATTTGACCATTATAGAAAAATTGTAAGAAAAATTATAGAAAAATATTGAAAAAAATATTGAATACTCCGATGAACATAAAATTAAAAAATTAGTTTTATTTTAATGTTGCAATTGTCATATAAAGGACCTAAAAAGAAAAATAAAACTTGCTCTTCTGCTCACACATCGCAATTTATTAACGATATCGCCATACTGTTGGGCTCAACGTCGTCATTATCACACGACGGTCGATTCAACACGTATCTAATAATCCAATATTCGATAGGAACTGTGCGAGCGAGGTGTTACAGTAATACACGACCGGGGAGGAATGCCATTCCCCCGGTTCTTGATTTATGCATTACAGAATATAGAGACACCGTGACTCGCGGGGATTCGATTTCGACCCGTGTAATACAACGTGAATATTATTCAAAGTGTTGCTCACTTGGACACGTGGACATGCCGAAGTAAATCGAGGTTTGACCGTAATTAACGACACGTGACGACACGTGCCACCGCCGTTCGCCATATAGCGGTGCCTTTATTGCTACCGGACGTCAACAAATTTGTGAACGAACGGGTAAACTTATTAGAGCTATCGCGAATGAAAAAGTTTCGAAGTATCGAGTTGCATTGACGGTGTTCAAATCTTACAATTCACTCTTTGCGAGCACATTTTAAGAGATTGTGCTATTCAACAAACTTCTCCATTTTACTTTTACGGAATGTTAAATAATATTTTAAGCGATTAGTTATGTGATTTCTGTCATTTATTGTTTCTCGTTATCGTTTTTCAAGGCATATTTTTTCCTATATTATTAATATCATTTTTGATATGTAAAATGAAAACTTCAATGGTGGAACGCGGAAGGATCCGGTTCATTTTCTGACCATGGATTTTTCGCTGTCAGCGGGTCATCGCGGCGATAGTAAATATTTCCATATTTACTACGTATACCTATATTAGCAATGTAATGTACCGTTATGCAAAAGTAGCTTCGCTACTCCTCGTGCTGACAGCATTATGGTTTTTTCTGAAACGAAATTATTTCCGTTCTTAAATTGAAGCCGTACTATAAACTACAGTTACTTTTCTTTCTACATTTTACAAGTTTCTCTTAGTATAATTTTCGTGGAATATGAAAATATTAAGAAAACCATAAATAGCTCAAAATTATATTTGTTAATTATCTCTCTCTCTCTCTCTCTTTCTCTCTTTCTCTCTTTCTCTCTATATATATATCTCATATTTTAGATATATTTATATTATGTAT